TGGATCTTGATGTCGAAATGATCAATTTGAGGATATTTGGGCATCAAAACAACTTCTTTTAATAAAGTTTTTGAGATAGGCTCTAATTTGATTGTTTATAACCTCGGCTCTATATAAACTTTTTCCTTAATATAATCTCATTTCGCTCGCACTATAAAGTGGCCTAAGGAGAAGACTTGTTTTGTTGTGTCGGTGGATAAGCTTATTTCAGAATTAACTTTTTTTTCTTGTGAAAATTATCGCCAAAGGATGCTCCCATAGGATTATTATATAGGAGTATACTGTTCATATAATCTCTCGGACTATATCATATTTTAGAATTTTTTTTTGTCAAAATTATTGGCTCCCATAGGATTATATCCAAGTATATTGTTCACATAATATATCGCACAATAACCCATCTAGGGGTAATTTTGGGAGCCCAAAGTTTGAGACTTCAAACTTTCTAACCCATGGACTAAACTCAATAAAAAGAAATCCACGTTGCGCTAACTAACAATAATGTCTCAAGATTGAATTGCGAACATCCATTTTTTTTTAAGAGCGAGATATAGTATTATAAACCACAAAATTCAAAATTTTTTTATGAAATAATTATTCAGTGATTTTTAAGTGGTTCCCATCTTTAGAGATTGAAAGACAATAATAGGTGTATGTTCCTACAGGAGCATAATATAAGCACTAATAATTATTTTTCCACTAAAAAAATTAGTGCTTAAGTTTTTAAAAGCATATATCAATGGTGTACCAGCTTGAACGGGCTTATTTTCGTAGGTCCCTATCATTTTTACTTTTCGAGGTCACTTGCTAGGCTAGGGGAGGTTACATCACTCGAATATGACGTATATAAATAAGTATAACATAAAAGAAAAGTATGCAAGGAGACCAATGGGGATGATAATTACTCTCCTTTATAACGTTTTAAATTAGGTAGTTGTGAATGTGTCATTGGTTAAATTTATATTAAAATAAAATAAAAAATTCAAATTTTAACGTACATCTGAAAGCATCCAATTTGATAATTAGAGACCTCATTGTACCAAAGATCGACATAGCATACGACCCCATATAAAATTGGTCTTTAACCGAGGGAGCATACACCACCTGCAGGAGCATAAAATCTTTTTCCGGCTTGTACGAAATTCCATATCCTCCGAAACTCATCTTAATTTCGCCGCAATAAACCCGAAACGTTGACTATTCTACAGATCGCTAGTACGTGAGCAGAAGCCCATTCTATTATTTTGCCCCTGCTCGTGGTTTTACTATTTTGCCCCTGTCAGTATTTTTACCATTTTGCCCCTTGCAAGATGTATGCTCCCTATGATGAGCACGTGCAGCGTCGCCATGAGGAGAAAGGCCGCCTCCATACCTGGTCAGTGTATTCTTCTTAAAAAAAATATATTTATATTTATTTTCTTCTATTTATTTATTTTTGGGGAATTTTTTTCTATTTATTTGCTATATATGTATGTGGTTTTTCTTATCTTAAAACTTTTGAGAGATGTTTTGATTTTGTGATGTTTGTGGGTTATTCTGTTCTCTCTTTATGTGGGGTATTTCAGGTTTCCCTAAATTTTATTTGAATTCCCTGATAATTGTAGTTTTACCACATTATTCCCTTTTGTCGCGCTACTTCAAATTTACTGATTTAATTTATCTTGATTGTAACTTGTGCATTTTCTAAATAAAAAATTTATAGAAAGTCTTCAATCATAGATCTAAAAGTATATTATTTATATAATTTATGTAGTTTGGTGATTTTTAATTCATTGCTTTTTTTTAGATTATTTCTATGTCTAAATCAAAAATTTTCAATAATCGATTTTTGTTAGATTTTTATAGACAATAGTTTCTTTTTTTTTTTTTTTTTCTTTTAACAAATTTGTTTGAGTTTTTAGCTTGTTATATCCTGTACAGGCCCGGTTAGTCAGACAGCTCGGGGCAGGGCCGAGTCCAATGCCCGAACCGAGTTTGAAAACATTGCTAATTCATGTGAATTTCCCTCGCTTCCTTATTTTCTATCATTTTAACGTCATTAAAAAAGAGACAAAAAATTGGTGCACACTTAATGAACAAGAAAATTAGAGTTAAGTTTGAATTTTTTTTAGAAAATTAGGGGGTTATTAGCTACAATTTTTCATTAGCTTTTTATTCAGGCTATTAGGATTCTTTTCTTGTAGTGTATGCGGGTTATTTTGGAGTTTTTTATTCGGATATTCCAAAATTTGCTGTAATTATTTGACTTATTGATTTCTCTTCTTTTTGGTTGCAGTCTTTTTGCACGGTGCTCTGCTTTTGCTATCGCGAGACATGTCAATGCTGCCTTGATGTCCTCATTAGCTGCCGCTAGGTTTTTTTTTTTTTTTTTTCTTTTTTTTAGATTATTGGAAAATATAATAAGGGATTTGTATACTATTTTAAGAATGAATTTTCTGTGAGATCATGAGCTTGGAATGTGATCGGACCTGTATATATGAATCCGCTAAACACTAAGTTAAAAAAATTTGCCTTTAAAAAATGCATCCACTAAAAACTAAGTGAAAAGATAGAGAAAGAGTGTACTTTCTGCCACTGTGTAAGAGAGAGTGTTTCTTATTCTCTCCATAATAAGCAGCAGCAGCAGCCAAATTGAATTGGGTGAAACAACAAAGTTATGCCAAATTTGTCTCCACTTAAGAAGGTCAGTGGTTCTCAAATCTCTTTTCATCAACTCCTCTTTCATCATCTTTGCTCCTCCTCCTCCTCTCCTCTTCACCTTGGTTCTCACAGAATACAGACCGGCCCACAAAGAAATTATTGGGGTTTCTCTTCTCCATTTTTGCAACACCATCTCCATCATTTTACAAGCTTCGGAGGAGATTCCAGTTGCTTCTATTCTGACAAGGTTGTTGCGAAGCCCTCGAATTCTCTACAAGACCTTCTCAAGCTCTTCAATTGCTCACCTGAAACAATCCGCAGGTTCTGGCGGCAGGCCTCGAGGCTGGAACCTGATGATGTCCTTAACCTCCTCTTACTTCTGCAATCCCAGAAAACAATCCCATATGCAGCCACTCTGTCGTGGAAGCTGTTCAATTGGGCCTCAAGCCAATTTCATTTCTGTCATCTTCCTCAATCATATATGATTTTGTTATCTATGCTTGTCGAAGCGGGGTTTATGAAAGAAGCAGAATCCATACTTCAGTCCATGGAAGATATCGGGGTCCTGCCGAATGTGGGAGCTTTCGATATGTTCATAGAAGGGTACGTTAAGTCTGGAAATTTGGAGAGTGCCATGATGATGTATGATAGAGCCAGAGGTCGAGGTTTGATCATCTCTTCAGCCTGTGGTAGGGGTCTTCTCCATTTTTTGATCAAAAGGAACCAAACCCAATTGGCATTTGATGTTTATTTGGATATGATGAAAGCTAGTATGGATACAGATGTTCATGCGTTGGAGATGCTTGTTGCATTGCTATGCAAGGACAAAAGGGTTGGAGAAGCTCGAAATCTTCTTGAGCGAGCATCTCATTTGGGTCTCAAGTGGAGCCAAATGGTTATAAACAGGATTGCTAATGCCTATCATGAAGGGCATGATTTTCACAAGCTTTTGTGTTTCTTGAATGAATTGGAATGTGCACCAGATGCTCTTGTTTGTAACAAGATCATAACTTTTATTTGCAGAGAAGGGGGCACGAGAGAAGCCTGGTTATTGGTGAATAGGTTGGAGGATATAGGTTTTAAGCCCGATGAAGTAACCTTTGAAATCCTTATAATTTGTGGCTGTAGAGAAGGCAATCTTAGAGGTGCACTCATGTTTTTGTCTGAGCTTTTCTCTAGAGGATTGAAACCTGATTTCTACACTTACAATGCTATCATAGCTGGGGTGTTTAAAGAGAGAATGGGGCATCATGCCAAAGAAGTCCTTTACGATATGATCGAACGAGGGATTACCCCTAATTTATCTACTTTTAGGATTTTGTTGGCTGGCTATTGTAAAGAGGCCAAGTTTGAAGAAGCCAAGGAAATTGTGAGGGAGATGGTCACCCATGGTTGTATTTCACCACCCTTGGTTTCTGAGGATCCTTTAGTGAGGGCCTTTGCCATCTTGGGTCTTGATCCTTTGAATGTCAAAATTAAGAGGGACAACACTTTAGGGCTTCTCAAAACCGAATTCTTTGATACTTTGGGTAATGGACTGTACTTGGACACAAACATTCAAGAGTATGAGAGTACTCTAATGGGTATCTTGGATGAAGCAATGATGTTTCCCAACTTCTCTCTTTCCATAGTGAGAGAATGTAGTGTAGGTCATCTTGAAGCTGCTTTGAAACTGAAGGATGCAATGGTTCAAATGGGTTTGAGTCCCTCTGCAATTGCCTGGTCTGAAATAGTTAAGGGCCTCTGTGCTGGAGGTTATGTGGAGAAAGCTCTTGATGTCATAGAGGAAACACCCGAACTTGGTAAACTATTGGACCAAGAAGCAATGATTGTCCTGATCCAAACTTTTTTTGAGAGAAAAATGTCATCAAGGATCAGGCCATTTTTGAATGATGTTATGCAGAGAGAGCTTCCCATAATGAATGATTTATATACAACTTTACTTATAGGTTTATGTGAGGAAGGGAGCATAAAAGAACTTGATGAGTATTGGGCCATTGCTAGAAGGAAAGGGTGGTTACCCGGCTTAAACAATTGTAAGACACTTGCGGCCTGTCTATGCAGAGAAGGAATGCTCGGGAAAGTGATGGAACTTGTTGAAATAATGATATCGAATGGCAATCACTCAAGCTCTAAGATGTGCAACCTCATTCTTGAAGAACTTTGCTGCAATGGTTTCGCACAAGTTGGGTATGATTTGGTGCATCAAGTTCATAGAAGTAGTCTGACTTTGGATCATGAAGCCTATAAACATCTCTTAATGGGGTTTTGTAAAGAAAAGAAGTTTTCTGAAGCCATATACATTCTTGACATATTGTTGGAGAAGAAAATAGCCTTATGTTTTGATGCATACAAAGTAGTGGTACCTTGTTTGTTTAGGTGGAACAAACTGGAGGAAGCTCTAAAGATACATGAAATATCCATCAATAAACAGCTTGGGGCAACTGTGGAAGTCTATAACATTCTTGTTATCGGGTTATGTGAGGCCGGGAAGGTCTGTGAGGCAACAAAGCAATTGCAAGGTTTGTTGTCTAAGGGCTTCTTTCCAGATAAAGATACACTCGATGCCATTCTTCAAGGCTATTGTAAAGAAGCCAACATAACCAGCGCAATGTTGCTTCTATGTATCATGTTAAAGAAGAATTTATGCCCTTCTATCTCAAGTTATAGGCAATTAGTACGTCAACTATGTACAAAAAGCATGTTATGTCATGCTTTGAGGCTGGAAGAGCTCATAATGTTCAGTGAAACAGAGAATCATCTGAGTGTTCATTGCAATATTCTACTCTTCCATCTATCTCACATGGTAGACAGCTTGCTACTATCAGGAGTTGTAAACAAAATGAGGAGTAATGGCTTCGTGGTTGATCAGTTTACGTGCAATCTGCTGATTGCTAGCCATTGTAAATGCAAGAATATCTCTAAATCATTGCAAATATTAAAGCTCATGCTTCAAAATAATCTTCAACCAAGCATACGTAGCTTCAACATTGTTATTAGTTGTCTTTGTAGGCAAGGTTCCCTTGGTGAAGGACTGGAATTGAGCAGCATAATGGAATCGAAAGGTTGGGTGTTTGGTTCCATGGTCCAAAGTTCTTTGGTTGAGGGCCTTCTCTTGGCTGGTAGAATTGAGGAAGCTGAAGCTTTTCTAAGTCGGATTGAACAGAAAGGTTTAGTTTCTTGTAATGTTGGCTATGACTTCCTGATCAAGAGATTGTGCAATTATGATAGGGTGAATAAAGCTATCAATCTTCTCAATGTAATGCTTAAGAAAGGGAGCATTCCAAGTGATACCAGTTACAATTCAATCATCCATGCATTGTGTGTCCGAAAAGAATTCGATGAAGCTCTTGACTTCCATGCGGAAATGCTTCATAAGAATCTTGAACCCAGCATGGAGGCATGTGAGGCATTGATTTTTGGTCTTTGTGGTGATGGAAGAACAGAGGAAGCAAAAAGGCAATTGGATGATATGTTGCGAAGAGGTCAGATCCCTACAAGTATCATGTACCAAACTGTGGTTGATACGTATTACCAAGCAAACAATGTTAAGGGAGCATCACAAGTACTGAGAGATATGCAACATTGTGGTTATGTGCCTGATTTCAAAACTCATTGGTCTCTCATAAGCAATTTAAGCAACGATGACAAGGAAAGTAATAATAAGGGCTTCTTATCTCGACTTCTTTCACAAAGTGGTTTCCTTTCAAAGGACTCTTCTTTGGGGCGTGGATGAGCTCTTGAGGTCATATGTAGTTTTCAAATGATGAGCCTCCTCAATTCTATGCATCTGTTTTCTGCGTTCTTCATATTAAAACCTTGGGACATTTCCTGCACATGTGAGTAATTACTGGGTTCCTCTAGGTATACGAATTCTTTCTTGATAGGTAGTTGTTTTTAATTTTCATTTCATATTCTTTGGAAAATGAAAAGATATCTGCTTGTGTATGATGTTTCGAATTTTGGGAAAACGTTGGCTCTAATTTGGTTTGAATTTTGGGAAATGTTGACCATAATTTGGTTTTGGAGTATAGTTTTGGGATCCATTTTTAGTATTTGTAGCCCAAATTGGCTGAGATATGCACATTTTAGAAAGAGAAATTCAGCTGTTTCCAACTAGATTTCAAGGTTATTTTCTTAATGCATATTATGACATTGCATGATTTTCGAAACTTGCATCCAAAGTTCTGCTGAAATTTACATTAGAAAGCGGGGTACTTTTCGAAACTTCTCTAGTTATCTTTTTTTTTTATTTTACTTTTACTCGGAGAGAATTTTGGCCATATTTCTGCCAGACATCAGAAACTATGATTTTTTTTTTCATTGTATTGAAACTTTAATTCAAGAAGTAGGCCTCTTATTTGTAGTGGCACATTCTCTATGTATATTTTCTGTCCTTGTGGTTAGTCTTGCTCTGAGAGTCCGAAGGGCAACAAACTTGGATTTGTTTTAATTTATTTTGTTCCTTGGCAACCTCTTCTTATAGTGTTGACATCTTATTTTCAGCTGTTTGAAAGTCTTTAATATTTTTAAATTTCATAGTTACGATTTGTAAATTACATTAATAAGCTTGCATGTACTTGAAATCTGGATCAAGGGGTGGGCAGGTATGTTGTGAGGAAAAGGCCACTTCTCTGCAGAGCAACTTGATGCACTTTATCCAAATGTATCTTTGGATGCATTTTAATAATTTCCTTTTCTATGATTTCAAACTATTTGTTTATTGGTATGACAATCTTCTATAGTTGTAAAAACTGCCAATCGGTTAAAATCTATCGTGCATGGGATTTTAAGCATGGGCTTGATTGGTTCCGGCATTGAGATTGCAAAACTATGTCCTAGGTTCTAATCCCACCATTGACCTGCCCAAAAACGTAATCTGTTATGTATGCCCAAAACAACATTTAATTATGAAGTATGCTTTGCTTGTCGTCTTACAAACGATCTCAATATAAGGTGTTTTTGTCTTTTATTTTGATAGTCATTGATAATGTGTACTTTTGAGAGCAAATTGCATGCATGTGGAATCATTTATATTCACCGAGTACATTCAAGGAATTATGAGATGAATACCAGATATCACTGGTTAAAACTGTCTCGCTTGCTTTTTTGTTTTTTTTTTAACATAAATGTCTCACTTGTTTTCTGTTCACAGAATATTGACTTCCTAATGCATGGGCAATGACATATAACATAGGAGCGCTTGCTTTACGGGGATGTGGCCAATGGAGTATGTGAAGCATAGCCTCCATGGTGTTCCATTTTCGAATAAATATCTCGGTACTCAGGTGCTTCAATTTACACCCTTCAAATGAGATATCTGTACAGCTAAAGGAGTTGCAAAAATTTATGTCAATTAAAAAATGAAAAAGAGAAAGGAACTATTAAATTCCTTAAACAAGTATAGTCCTAGGTCTGGATACACGAACTAAAATAAATTTTTTTTTTCTGGTGTATCTATTGGGAATTGTTGTTTTACTTTTCTGATATATTTCTGAATGTCTAGTTTGTCTTCACTTTCATAAATTTTTTTGTGGAGTTTCCAAACGAAAAATTGTATGAATTATTTTTTGATTCTTGCCTTCTTGGTGTCTTCTAATATTGCTTCCATCATTATTCCTTATCAAAATATGTGTTTGTAATAGATCATGGGACTTGGTCCATGTTCACCTGTGGTCTTCTCATCTTGCCTTTTCTGCTCTATTCCCTGTCAATCGACATGATGAAGTATGTTAGACGTGCAGCAATTCTCAGTCTTGGGATAGTGATATCTACATACTTTGGGCAAGAAAACTGAGTGGATTAGAGAACAAAGGGCCCAAATCATTGATGTCAAATGTGGCTAGATTTTATCTGCATGGGTTAGAGGATGAACTCTAGGACATGCTATTTGGCCCCACCAAACATTTTGTGCCAACCATTTTCCTATGATATGATATTCTATGTACTGCCACAAGAGTAAAAAGTTATTACTTTTAATTTAATGTGTGCTTGTAGTTCTCTGGGCCAATTTTTCTCCTTTTCCTGTTCCTGTTCTAGCTCATAATCATCACAATCAGTATCAATGTCACTCTACATTTGGTTTTTTTATTTCTGTCCTTCTACATTTGTTATTTTCTGCAACTAAAAATAAATAATAAAATGACAGGTCAGCTTGTTTGTGGTTTTGGAACAAACTTACAGGGTTCGAGCCATGACCTCCCTCACCTAGACTAAAATTGTCAGACTTCATGAAGTTTTACAAAGTTTCAAATGTATTTGTTACGTATATAAATAAAATGCATTTGTCTTTTTTTGAAGGTAAGAAGATTCTCCACAAGCAATGTCTCGTATGGAGTCCTTGATTGCTGGACAGTTCAGGAGAAACATATATATCCTTTCTCTTCGAACCACCTTGGAATGAGATAGCCAGGGCATACTTCTAAAAGGCAAGTATAAACCTACTAGTTTTCTCATATTCATTAAGAATGAGGGGCTACATATCAAAATGATCAACTCGTTTTCTAGTCTGCATGCTTGTAGTCATTCTCTGTTAACTCTGATATTTTCCTTGAGAGTTAAAGATTTAATATAATATGATTTACGAGTTTATGCTCTGTAGTTTCCTGGGATGCTGGTGGATAATAATGCTTTAATTAGTTGTGAAACTAGAAAACTGCTTTGAGTAATGATGCTGCCAGACCTAGAAGTGTTCAAAACCTTATTTCTGGGGTCTGCTTTGAATCGAATGCCCCAAATTGCATTACCCCATGTTTGAGATTATTCAATGAGTTTCTTGCTTTGAATGATCTCATAGATATTCCAATCCTTGGTGCATAGCATAGATGGTTCTATGCCCCACAGCCTGCGCACCAATGGTGGTTCTTTTCATTGCTGTATACGTAGTAGTAATACAAGGGATAAGGAGTACCACTCATTGTCAATACCTGTAAACAGTTTCCAATCTATCATTTTCATGTATTATACAGTTTCCTATCATGATATATTCTCCCTTACAGTTTCCATTGTCAGTTGTGTATGATTTTCTTATAGAAAAGAACATCAAATATAACAATGTAGACTTTCCCAAGATAAATATTTAGGTCGCAGTGTATTCATATTGTTTCCGGAAGGGAAACTATAGAATGAGACCGTTTACCTTTGGTACAAGGTGGTCATATTAATTTTGACCATTGGATGTGAAATTGCATGGCTGCAATTATTCCATTGATGAAGCTCAAACTTCAAAGGAAATTTTTTCGAACTTTGTGATACATCTAAACTAACAAATTTTATATCGGATGGTTGTAAGTAATTGTGACCACCTTGTATCAAAGATAAATGACCTCATTGTATACAATCCTTTCCATGAATGTCACTCTTTCTATTAGTCTCTAGCTTTAAAGAAAAGAACAATTGTTTCATGCGGGCTGGACCGCATTTCTACAATTTGCGGTCCAGAAGTATAAAGCATCCATCTTAAAGATGGATGCAAATAGGTGGTCCATCTAAGAACAATTGTAACTAAGGTCCAAATGTTTCCTAATATAATTATTATTTCTAGTTTTCAATATCTATTTATTTTTATATTCATGATCTCCATGTTATATAGTCTCTAAAAATTAGGATCAAATGATATTTAAAAAATATATTTATTGCCAAGCCTTCATTTGTGCTTGACTGCATGCTAACCAGGTCCTAAAGAAAATATCATTAGATCATTTAATTCTCATGCTGCAAACAATTTGGACCTGCAAAATTTAGGTTTGAATCATGTTGGTTTTGATGAAGGGCTGTATGATTTAGTGAACATGTGTGGTGTTCCATTTGTGTCTTTGGTCATGATTTTAGAGTACCAAAATTGTAGCTTCTAAAGCAGAAGTTAGCTTTATGGAAAAATGACAAATTTGAGAAAATTTTGCAGAAAAATTAATAATTTAGAATAAAGAAATTCAACTGATTAAACAATATCAAAATGGCCATGACCAGTTGCTAATAGTAGAAAGAAAGGGGCTTTTGCTAATATAATTAAGAAAAGGAAAAAGGCTGGAAGAGATCCCAATTTATTTTTCAAATTCAATAGAACCATTTTAAAAAAGGAAAAAATTTATATAGAGCCGAGGCGCTAAAATATCAAATTAGAGCGCACTTCAAAAATTTCATTAGAACAGGTTGTTTTGATGCCCAAATATCCTCAAATTGATCATTTCGACATCAAGATGCATGGACATGAGAAAAAAATGGATTTCAAGTTTTGGAAATAGTCCATCTTATAATGCATTTTTTGAACCGTCAATTTTCAAGATTTTTAAGTTTTCATAGATCTGCTCTATCTACACTATTTTTTAAGCTTGAAATTTTATAATTAGAGATGAAAATATATTTTAAGGCTATCACAAAGATTTCCAGTATTGAAACCATATTTCTGGACACTATTTGAAGGTGTGCTTTATTTTGATTGTTTAGACCCTCAGCTCAATACAAACCGCACCCTTTCAAAAAATATATGATATAATATATTCAAATGGTGAGGAATGAACTAGAGTGTTAAAGAAAATTGAAACCATTATATTTAAATGGTGAGAGAAATAACTTTGGAAAATATGAAATAGCATAGGAATACATATGCCCCACACCAAAAGCTTTGTGTGGCTTTTGAGCATTATAATGATGACACTTATACACAAATAGTTCTTCAGAGCTACTTAGCTTTTATTCCTTTTATTTATATTTTTTAACATCAATATCATGAATAATGTTTTTTCTCAAACCCCTTGTTAACATAGCATAAAAAAATAAAAAAATAAAAAAAAAACTTGTTTAGACTTCAGGTTTGGGAACTATGTTTCTAACATTTGGTTAAGAAACCTAGCAAGTTTGATGGATGGTTCAGCATGTGCAAACCATGAAATCTTTTTCTTTGGGAAAACCTTTCTATATGGTATTAGGTATAGCAAAATTATATATGTCATTCCTCTTCTAGCCATTCGATCTAAATGGATGGTGGGGATGACTTCAATGACAATGTCAGGTCTGAACACTATTTTATTTTTCAGTTTTCTATAAATCATCTTAATATAAAATTTGGGGCATGCCTTCTTCTTATAGCGGCGCACCTTAAGAAAATGAAAAATTAATATTTAAAATAAATAAAATAATAAAAAACTCCTTAAAAGTTGTAGGGGTATTTTGATCATTTTATTTTGTTAGATTTCTCTTTTTTCCAAATTTGTTTTAATTGTTCCCCTATGAGAGGAGGACATACACTAAATTTGAAGTTCAGGCGATCTAAATAAAAATAAAATACTCTGAACTATCCTATAAAAATCAAATAGTTAGATGCTAACTCTGAAGCAGGCATCCATTCAGATCAAACAACTAAGAGAGGGATAACATATATAATTTTTCATGTGCCTAGAAATTCGCATTTTGTGAAACCTTAAATACAAAGTATTTCTTTTAGCTGAAGCGAGCCAAAGTGCTCTATCTTTTCAGACCCATAAATTGCTTATTAGTTTGGATAAGAGACTTTGGTTTAGAATTCCTTGGTTTAAATACTATATATATAGATTGCATAGTTGCAACTCATTTCCGTATGAAGGCACAAGGCCTAGATTTTGAATTGATAGCCATTTAAGTTGAATATATATAGGGAAAAGTTTATATAGAGCCAAGGCTCTAAACAATCAAATTGGAGCCTACCCCAAAAAATTCACTATAAGAGGTTGTTTTGATGCCCAAATATCTTCAAATTGTTTATCTCGACATTAAGATGTATGGATATGAGAAAAAAAAAATGGATTTCAAGTTTTGGATATAGTGTATTTTGTAATGCATTTTTGGGACCGTAAATTTTCAAGTTTATATAGATATGTCGATCTACACTATTTGTGAAGCTTTAAACTGTATAAATAAAGATGAAAATATATTTTAAGGCCATCACAAATATTTTCAGTATGAAAACCACATGTCTCAACACTATTTGAAGGTAGGCTCTAATTTGAGTGTTTAGAGCCTAGGCTCTATACAATATATGTGTGTCTGTGCATGCAGAAAGAAAGTAATGTTTTCTTGTAGTTGGTGCTAAAGAAGAGCCGCATGTTTCATTTGTTCTTCTTGTTAAAAACACTAAATTGAATAAAGTTTCATTATATATTTTTAAAAGAATAAGTATGTAAAGAGACCAATGACTTTTCGAAAAGGGGTCACAACTCAACTATTCGTGTTAATCAAATTTCAAATCAAATGTTAGTAAGTGTGCTTGTGACTAAACTCAAAGCTCAACAAAAAATTCTTGAACTTCGTGATATATCCCAAGACATCCAATTGGACATCTTATGGCTAAGATTGATTGTGACCTCATTGTACTAAGGATTAATGGCCTTATAGTATACAATCCCTGGATTGAGCTATCTCAAAAATTGCCTGAACCGCATGAATCAAATCGGAACTGAACCTCGGCAAAGTTGGGGCCGATTCCCATTTTTTATTCAAATAAATGACCTAAAAATGGATACTTTTTCTCTCAAATGAATTATTTTTTTTTTGTTTTTTTTTTTTTTTTTAACTATGAACTGTTAGTAGTGGACTATCAATTTTTTAAACTATTGGTTGTTTTCAAAAGGAGTTAGCAATGGTAGGGATGGAAACCGAGACTAGTAGCTGAGTCACAGGAGCTACCCCTTAACCTCAGCCCCATTCCTTCCCAAACAGACATTATAGTGGTATCAATTTCAAAAGGATAATTGGGTCCTATCACAACGGTAATTTAGTAATTGATAGGGGGCATTTTGGTTAAGGGTTTTACTATAAAACAAGATTTAAAAACACGATTTGGTGGCGCAGATGCCCCTCTAGAAAACCGATCTAGATTGGTAGATTAAAAAAATTTAAAAAGTTATCAATATTTAAGGGAATAAGAATCAATCCGAACCACGTTACTTTTAAAACCTCGATGAAAAATATAGAAGATATCTACAATATTACTGGAGAGTGATAGAGCGTCGAATTCACAATGGCAATTTTTGGTCTTTAAAGGAAAAATCTCAAGGGTGTTATTGTCATATATAAAATGTGCGTGCATGTGAAAGGTGCGACGAAAGGGGTTCACAAGGGTAATTTGGTTATATCAGGAAAATGCCAGGGCTGTTATCGTAATATACAAGATATTTGTTTTTTTTACCATTAAATATACATTAGATATTGAACAATTGTTTCATGCGGGCTGGACTGCATTTCTACAATATGCGATCCAGAGGTATAAAGCATCAATCTTAAAGATGGATGCAAATAGGTGGTCCATCTAAAAACAATTGTAACTAACAGTGCAAATCTTCTTTTAATAAAATTATTATTTTTAGTTTTCAAAACTTATTTATTTTTCATATTCATGATCTCCATGTTAAAGATTATATATTCTCTAAAAATTAAGATCAAATTATATTTAAAAATATATTTATCGCCAAGCCCGCATTTCTACATGAGCAGGCTTGGCTGCATGATTTTTATAGTGTTTCTCTTGATTAAACCCTTGTATTTTTCCTCTTAAATAAGATGATTTTCAATTTTAGGCATTCTCATCATTTTTGCAAAAATATTGGAGATAATATAGTTAGAAATTTAAAGATAAATTTTATTTATTAAAATTTTAAAATAGTTCTATATATTTTAGATTTTACATTTCTGTTCCACATTTTGAGACCAAAAACATATTTTTAAATTTTATCGCACACCTATAAAAATATTAAAGAAATAGGGTGTGAGATTACTATCTTTTCATGACATGTTGTACCCTCTAATTTCATTAAATCTCGGGAGTTTGAGGAACCTTTATACTTAGGGAATATATATAATGAGACCATTTACTTTTAGTACAAAGTGGTCACAATTAATTTTGACCATTGGATGTGAAATTGATTGGCTACATTTATTTCATTGACCAAGCTCAAAGTTCAAAAGAAATTTTTCCAAACTTTGCGACACAACCAAGCTATCAGATTTCACATCGGATGGTTATAAGTAATTGTGACCTCGTTGTACCAAAGGTAAATAGTATCATTATTGTATACAATTCCTTATATATATATATATATATATATTAGAATGGTTTCAGGAACCTTTGTAATAAATTAGGCATGTCTAAAATGCCGTTTCCATGTTAAATGAAAATAATACAGAAAAGGTATTTATTAATTAAGATATTCAATGCTCACAATCTTTGATTTAAATTAGATAATCCCATCAAAACAGGGGTCCCTCTCAATAGAAACAGAAAAGTGTCCCATTAGGATAGATTAGATAATCACTCTTCCCTCCCTCCAATCCACACGCGCGCACACACAGAGAGAGAAAACCCAAACTGTTCCAACAAAAGGGAATATATGAGAGAATCCAAACTGTTCCAATAAAAGAGAATATGGGCGTGTTTAATAAGTGGGAGTTTCTGGAAGTGGGAGTTAAATGTCCCACTTCCATGTTTGATATTACTGTGTGGAAGCTGTAAGTGGAAAGGCGGCCTTCCATGCAGCTATTTTTTAGTGTTAAAATGAGTTCATTTTTGGAACACATCCCTTCCATAAAAAATGATGGAAGAACAGTCTTCCATAATTTGTGGGAGAGTCCCTTCCACTTCCAAAAACTCAATGGGTCAAACGCACCCATATGTTAAATTTGGAAAATAGTTGGTTGAGGTTTTTATGCTACATTAAATTTTAGTAGATATGGTATGAAGAAAAGGGATGACGATTACGCTATAGAGTATTTTTTTTTTTTGTTAATAATACTGAATGACTCTAAATTATGAGGAAATAAGAGACTCTTTTTTGTTGAAATTAAATATTTCAAAAAATAAACTTCCCAACTAATTTTGCAGTATCCAATGCCCCTCTAATTGTTGGACAATTTGAAACTTGCTTTCTATTTAATTGAGTTCCTTCAATTTTGATGCTCTCTCTCTCTCGATTTCTGTGGTATTCTTTCTAATGAAGAAATGGTTTTGCAGCGAGGCGATCCAATTGAGGAGAGACACAGGGAAAATACAGAACGAGGGCCTATTGTGGAGCAGCTCATTTATTGCATTAACGGCTATAGAGAAGCAGCACTTTCAAAAGATCCTAAATTTGATCACATTGAAAGATCCTAAATTTGATCACATTGAAAGATCCTAAATTTGATCACATTGATGGTGCAGATAAGCAGAAGGTACAGAAGTGTATCTGTTCAACAACAAATAAGCTTTTAGTACATTATCACTATATTATTCATTAGTAAATGTTGTCTACTTGTATATTGAAGTTAGAAAGTGTTTAGGGGTTCGAGGGCTTGATACCTCTTCAGGATTTGATTATCGCTTTTCTTTTCCTGTTTTCTGAGTATAAATATTTATTTACTTAGATGTGGCGAAGTAAAAAAGGAATGGGGTTGAGGTCAAGGGCGGTAGCACCACCTGTGCCTCAGCTACCGATCTTGGTTTCCATTCATACCAATGCTAACCCCTTTCGAAAACTACTAACGGTTTAATAAAATTGGTAACCCACTACTAACGGTTAACATTTAAAAATATATATTTATTTACTTCGGTGTTGACCTGGTTTGGGTCTCATTTTACTTAGGTGTTGACCTGGTTTGGGTCTCATTTTACTTAGGTGTTGACCTGGTTTGGGTCTCATCCAATAATAGAATTAGTCAAGAAATTGTTATCACTTTCCTTCTGCTGGACCACTTGCGGTGGTTTGGGTCTCATCCAATAATAGAATTAGTCAAGAAATTGTTATCACTTTCCTTCTGCTGGACCACTTACTGTGGTTTTGCCTTCCAATTTCTATAGTCTCGTAAGTCTTCAGTCTTCAGTCTTTGTTATGTGAAAACAGATTACATACCCCTTGTAAGTCTTCAGTCTTTGTTATGTGAAAACAGATTACATACCCCTCTGTACCTCATACCAAGGGTCTGGCTGTTGCCTTCCAATTTCTACAATCTCGTAAGTCTTCAGTCTTTGTTATGTGAAAACAAATTACATACCCCTCGTAAGTCTTCAGTCTTTGTTATGTGAAAACAGATTACATACCCCTCGTCAGTCTTCAGTCTTTGTTATGTGAAAACAGATTACATACCCCTCTGTACCTCATACCGAAGGGTCTGGCCGTTGGTATCTTCAAGCCCTTAACTGAAATTGAGCAGAAACTAAGCATGTTGAAACAGAAGAAGTCTCTGTTCGTATGTCCCAGAAATAGTTTGTATGAAATAAGTTTTGGTTGAATGTAGATCGCATCTCTTTTATATGTGAATAATTGCAAATTTCTAAATTAAAAAGCTAGAGATTGGCTCGGAAATTGTGGAGATTTGTTGAAGAAAATGGGTGCAGCCATGTTTAGAAGGGACACTGTTAGGATCCCAAGATTGGGTATGAAACAGGAACATTAAAGAAACAACGAGTTTTTTATTTTTTATTTTTGATAATTCATGCAAAGTACACTTTCTAGCAAGGAAGATCCAAAATAACTTTTTACTCTTCTTGCTGATCAGTGAAACTAAAGTTGCTTTTCTTTTCTATTTTTTGAAACAAATTTTCCCGTTGTTTTCTTTTAAACCCTTTTTTTTAGGGAAAATTATAATTTGTACTCTGCAAATTACTGCAAAACTCAATTCCATCGAAATCTTCTCTCTCGAAGAAAAAGAACCTACTCTTTTTTCTCTCTCAAAGAAAAAGAACCTACTCTTTTTTACCATACAACCTCACTTCGCTGTTGTGATTACTCTATACTTTGCAGGGACATCATTGAGCATATGCTTTGATAAATTTCCTTTGAGAGGTAACATATGAAGTATCGGTGAAATAAACAGTAAAAAGCTTTTAGTAAGGCTTCTATGATCTACTCTTTAAGAGCCCAAAACGTGCACCTGCTTGTTCCTCATCATGGTGCAGTGGAAAGGATGTGTGTTAATTGGTTTCCTCCTCGCACCTATAGGAAGAATTATTGCCTTTAAACTACTGTGAAACTTCTAAAATAAGTTGTTACTATTTAGGATTATTTTTCTTTTGATGAGTATTGTAGCTTATCATCGCTAAAAGTCCTCCAGTTCTGTGTCATGTGGTAATTTCTTAGTAATGATGACTAGTTACATATTATTTTAGCAAAGCTCAGTTCATGTTTGATGCTTCTTTAACTGTTTGGCTGAGTTGAAGTCATATTTGATGTTTGTTAAAATGTCAGGTTGTGAATGAGTGTACTGAGGCAGAAGCCTGGTTGAGAGAGAAACCTGGTTGAGAGAGAAAAAGCAGCAACAAGATGCATTGCCCAAGCATGCAAATCCTGTCCTCTTTTCTTCTGACTTGAAGAAGAAAGCTTAGACCTTAAGACAGGTAATCTTGAATGCTATATCTGCTGGTTCTTTCTTTATCAATTATTTATATCCTCACTTTTTTTCCCCACGAAACGAGTTACTCTTCTCTATAAATTTCTTTTTTTTTTTTTTGTTTTGTAAGTTACTCTTCTCTATAAATTTCTTTTATTTTTTTATTCTTTTGGGTGAGTCAGTGGGGAGAGGACCCCTTCCCTTGGTAGGAATTGAGCCTAGGATGTAGTGTTGCAAATCGTCAGGCGCTAACCAATTAAGCCTGTGCTCTTTTCATGTCTTCCCAATAAATTATGAATGCCATATATGCCATTTCTGTTTTCCTTTTTTAGTAACATAGAAAAGGAAATCTAAGCGGATTTCAAATGAATTATCTTTTCTACAGTTATTCCAGAGGAATTCTTATGAGGTAAAGTATAGAGCACACATGGTAACCACCAGGGCCTTGTTTGACGCTTCTCTACATGTTACATGTGGGTCATGTTTTCCTCCTGTACATGCGAAAACTATTATGCATATGGCCGTTGTGTCAAAATTAACAGAAATTTAGTTCCATTCAAGGATGAAATTCAGGGTTCAAATGCTTTGACGTCATAGTAGCCAGCTTTTCTTTCACTTTACCAAAAGCAAAAAAGCAAAAAGAGGAAAAAGAAAGAGGAAAAAAGGCTTGTCTTGATCGATTGAAAATTTGCCTCTAATTTATGGGGTGGAGTAAGTCAAACTCCTGTGGTTGTTTGCCTACTGTTAATCTATTGAATATCTATGATACTGTCAATTCTTTCTATAATGATTTCTTAACATGGGAGAGAGATCTTCAACATTTAAAACATTAATACTAACTCAGGAATCTGGCTTGGGTCAAAGATGGTAGAGGCTGAGTTTTTATAGCCTAACGTCTCAAGTTCCATTCCTATGTAAACTTGTCCAAAAAAAGAAAAAAACATTGATTTTAACTCAGGTTAACTATTTCTTTCCTTTTTGGGTTCAGGTAGCTGACAACAGGTTCTGTAGACCTATCATGACAAAGCCAAAGCCTGCACCTGCCAAATCGCCAGCTCCTGCTGAGGACCTACCCCCTCCTCCCCATCCCACCGAAACCCAACAAGAGAGCGTGAACCCTAGTGAACAGGGCCCCGAGGCTGAGGGCCAAGCCCCTCCCCCTGACACTGAGCCCATGGAAACTGACAAATCTGAAACCGCCTTTCCTGAGTGAAAGCTCAAAACAACCTCCCAAGGTATGAAAATCGTTGGGAAGTTCTAAAAAAGCATGCTGCCTGTTCAGTTGTTATTCATTAGACGAGCCTCCTTTTTTTCCAGTAATCATATTTGGTATGTATTTTCTCTTGTTTATTTGCCCCATTATCGGCAAAAGCATTTTGGTTTGTAGCTGAGGTGGGGAAGGCAGTCTTGTTGGTGGTGTGTTTGAAAGGTTGGAGCCTCTAAACTTTTGGGGGGCCTCCATGATTTTGAAGGTCGAGAAAAATTTAAGAGTTCATGCCCTTAGAAATGGGTGCGTTTGTAGGCATTGTGGAGTGTGGGCCGTAAACCTATTGACTCCAACTTCGCAAATCAGAACTGGATGCAGACCTCTTTGTTCTACAGAAAAAATGTGACAATCATGGCAGGGGAGGTGGAAATAAGCCTCGAATCAATTCATGGAGAGAACGTAAGGTGAATGTGTTCGGCCAGTTGAAATTGTCTTCTGGGACTCCTGCCCCTCGAAGATCTTCTAGCCTTTGGAATTAATATTATGGTATCGTATGCGATGGGGTCGAGGGCCCTACAATTGGGTAGCCCTACAATTGGGTAGTTAGTCGTGGTTGTTCGCTTTGCAAAGTGGGCGCCTGTAGCGTACTTTGTTGTGCAATTTTTTTTTTTTTGATAATCAACTTTGTTGTGCATATTGTATAAATAATTTTCAGGTCTTCAAATCTAAAAAATTGATACCTACGCATCATTATCTGGAAAATGATTTTTTTTTTTATTTTGTCTTATGTAAAAGGTTCATATAAGGTTACAACATTAAAATGTAGAATTAAATATGCACTTTAAAAATCGAACGGAAAAGGTCGTTTTAATGTTGAAAAACCTTGTAATTGATTGTCTTGACATATGGAAAAAAAAAGAGACTTTGAGTCTTAGAAATCTAGATCATCCATTTTCAACATTTTCATATGTATATTGATCTATTTGATTTTAACTATTTTTTTAGTTGAAAATTTTATAATTAGATATAAAAATAGATTTTCAGATAATCCTAAAATTTCTTATACCAAACTTACATGCTATGATAAAATTTGGAGCTGCGCTTTAATTGGATTGTTTAAGGTTCTGTGTTTACTTCTAGGGTGTGGTTTGTATAAGGTTGAGGCTCTAAATGATCAAAGTAAGGTACATTTTCAAATAGTGTGGTGACATGTCCCAAGCCATCCAATTGCACATCCAATTGTTAAGATTAATTGTGACATCTTTGTACTAAAGATAAATGTATGATAGTATCTAATGTATACCATTTTAATAAAATAATTAATATAGATTATTACAATCTTATTTATACATATAAGATTAAAATTTTATATAAGCTTTTTGTATTTTATATACCCTATTTTATAAAAAAATATACAAAATGACTTTTTATTTTCTACATAAGGAGGTCTCAATCCCTTTTGTCCGATTTTAAATCGAGTGGCTATGAGTGTGTCATTGACTAGACTCAATATTTAAATAAAATTTTTCAAAATTTATGACACATTTCATACTATTCAATTTGAAATCTAATGGTTAGGAACAATTGTGACCTCCTTCCAATAAAGATAATTGGTCTGACAATATACGTTAAAAAGGGTGCAATACTATAGCGAGATTATATATTGTTCATTACTCCCTCACTCGAGAGACTGACTTGGCGAATTTCTTCAGTATGAAAATTTAGGAACCACCTAAAATTGCTAGATGATTATTTAAAAAAAAACTGAGTTTTGAAATTTTTTGACACATATTTTCCTTAAAAGATTAGATGGTTTCTATACAAGCTGGAGACATTTTTTTTTTTTCACGGCATAGACGATTCACTTGGGATTTTTTTTCTTAAATTAGCAAATGTGACAAAGTTACATCCCAAAATTCAAGGTTCTCAAATTACAACTACATTGGATTTTACTCAATAGTAAATACATATTATACTCCCATACAAGTATAAAATTTCTAAACTTCAATAACAACTTTGACCCATTGGATTTTACTCAATAGTAAATACATATTATACTCCCATACAAGTATAAAATTTCTAAACTTCAATAACAACTTTGACCCATCATCATCATAGCCTTTATCTAACTATTTGGGTTCGGTTATTAACAACACCAATAATCCTGCTAATAATAATAATTAAAGAGGGCCAATATTCTCCACGTTTTTCTTTGATGCACTCAAAACATGGGTGGGCATAAATTGCAAAATATTTTCTATTTCCATTCATCTGACATGTTTTGACCTTTTTTTATGAAAGGAGTGAAGAGGAAGTAAGGAAAAATCCAAAGATAAAAATTGGCAAGGAAAAGGAAAAAAATATGGCATCTTTATTAGGGGGAATAAACTGAAAAGTTTGTTGGAAATTGGGACATAAATATAGTTAAAACTTTATTGAAACTTTGTATGCGAAAGAGAATTTAAGGGACTAGAATGATACGCGTAAGAGACTTAAGGGACTAGAACGAAGTGCTTGCTGTGAATCTTGGGATTTTGGGTAAGCAATAAAAGTAGGGGCAAAAGAGAAAAATACCCGTTCTTGCATCTTTCCATTGGACATCCGATAGCCATAGAGGTATTATGCAGATAGTATGCTACATGTAAAATCAAGTGTGCATACTCCACAAGAGATAGCTGACATGAATCTCACATTTGCTCATGCCCATCGCTATAAAATCAAACGGTGGAATGAGTCATTTAGCATCCTGGTGCGGATGGTTTGGTTGAGATTACATGTATATTATTTAAGGACTGTACACTATGAGCCTATTTATTTTTCGCATAAAGAGTTCAAAATTATTTTTAGCCTATGGATGTGATATTAATCAGAGTAGAGTGCCTCACAACATTTGAGAGGTTTTTTATTTCGGACTTTGTGCCCAACAAGAACACGTCAGCAGCAACTCAATCTTAAAACTAAGGGTCAATGATGATTGTGACCTCTTTGTTCGAAAGTAAATGGTCTCGTTATATATATTTCCTATTATTTATGTACCGCATGTCGTGCCAATATGGGATCTTTTTACAAAAATCACTAGTATAAAGTTTGGGATTGTCTACAAAGAAACCATTTATCTTTTGTACATAGAGGTCACAATCATTCTCACTCATTGGATAAATTGAATGGTTTGGGGTAAGTCCGAAAATTCGAGAAGTTTTTTTTGGAACTTTGTATCTATTTAATGATACTCTTACAACCGCTTATTTTGAAATTTAAGGGTACAAAAAGACAATTTATCTTTTGTACATGGAGGTCACAATCATTCTTATCCTTTAAATTTCAAAATGGGTTTGGAGGAAGTGTCACCAGAAAGAAAACCTAATGCTGTGTTTCGATGAAGATATTCTTTGTGAACAATTTTTTTTTATGTTATACATATAAAGTTTATTTTTAAAATATCTTTTAGAAAAATGTAGGAATGCTTGGATGACATCCTATTAAATGAGTCATTTGTATACTAGTGATAAGTTTAGCTCAAAGGATTAACATTTGGGTGACAATGAGTCATTAGTATACTAATGACAAGTTTAACTCAAAATATGGGATTAATAGTTTGGTGACAACTTGTTAATCGGTAGTTTTTTAGAATGGACTAGGGCTCTAATTGGAGCATTGGCAGTAGCATGCTAAGCTTCATGACTAATCCCTTTTTTTTGCTTTCTTTTTTGTTAATAAGTATATGCGAGTCTCAGAGTTACACTCGGATCTCAACTCCTATAGATTATTGATGTGACAGTTACTACTTATATGTTATCTATAAAAAGAAGTTAAGCCCCCAAGAATATAAAGAAGACACTATATAAAAAGAAGAAAGAGAAACATATACAGGGAATGAGATCACTAAAGGAACTCTTAATTTGCCGCCAACTTGATGACTTGGTCTACAGGATTTGAATAGAAATTTAAGTGTGTATGTAATTTAATGACAAATCTGAATAAGTTGTTCATTAATATCAATTTTTACTTCATTTTTTTTTTGAGTAAATTACAAATAGCCCCCAAGACTAGACTTTCTATACGAGTTACCCCCAATCAAACTTTTTTGTCTTTTTTTTTATCGTAAAATATAAGTTCTTAGCAAATACCCCCTACCTAAATAAAAAATAAAAGAGGTCTAAACTACCCTCCCTTACTTTTCGTTTACCCACATCCCTCTTTCCTCTTTCCCAAGAAAAGGCGGTCTGACGTATTCTTAGGGTGGTTCGACAATGCAATGTCGATTCGGTAAATAATAGTGGTCATCCGGTAGTACAAGTGGAGGTCCAACATTGACAAAAAACGGTCCAGCAATAGGCCCATGCAGTCTGGCACTGCCAAAAAGCAGTCCGACAACGAGCCCATGCGGTCCAGCAATAGGCCCAAAGTGCAATGTCAAAGAGCGGTCTAACAGCCCATGTAAAGCCATGTGAATGTCCGGCCAAAGTTAATTTTTTATGGAAGAAAAAAGGTATTTTCGTCAAAAAAATGTACCATTTTTTACTTTAGGGGGTATTTGCTAGAAAAATGTATCTTGAAGAAAAAAATGAGAAATTTTTTTGGTTAGGGGTAACACACATAGTCTAGTCTTGGGGGTTATTTGTAATTTTCCCTTTCTTTTTTTTATTTTTTTACTGGGATGTACAATGTCATGGATCAATTTTCCAAGGCTCCAACCTAAAGTTCCAGCAACTTTGTCATCCATCTCCACGACATTGTTTTGATGCCTCAAGGTACTTCACCACTAGCCGCATAGGCACAAACATCTGTGGTCCATGCCGCACTTTCCTCACTCTCACCGAAGGTTGATCTGGGCCTGGCAATGCCCCGAGCGGCCCAGCCCTAAAAAGCTACGGCCTAGGTTGCAAACTGTGGCCCGAGGGCCAATGTCAGCCTTATCCATCTTTTCTTGTTTTTTTTTTGTTTTTTCTTCATCTTATTTCGGCCTTGTTCATATTTTTTTATTTTTGGGTAATTCAGTGGAAAACATACACTTATATCGCTTTTTCAAATGGTTCAGGAGTTAGTTTTTTTAAAGTTAGTTTTTTTAAAATGTTAATGAGATGGTGACTAGAGTATAAGGATGCTACTATCACGACCCCAACCCCAACCCCACCTTTTCCCTTTTGGCCTGGCTGTTACCACCCTTAGGTCGGTCAAGACAAGGCAGGAGATACTCATCAAGAGAGGTAGCTAAATCCCCCCGTAGTGGAACCATAGTTAGTAAATCACCGTATTATACACGATTTTTTTAAAACATCGGAGTTTTTTACAAAACCGTTTTAATCAGCATATTATTCAAAACAACGTAAAAAAAATCACGTTTTTTTCATTAAGAAGTTTAAAACGTGATTTTTTTATATTTACAATAAATCGTTCCAAAAAAAACTTGACTATTAATAACATCTGAATTTATTTATTTTTTTTGAAAAGTTCATTTACCTGTTTCAAGTTTTATAAAAGTTCATTTTTTATACCTTCAAAAAAAGTTCATTAACCTTTTTTCTGCTTTTTGTTTCTTTCCTTTTTGTTTTTTTAAATCCTAAAACGGGCTACTTGCATATGGCGGCTGATCAATTGTAGAAAATCATTGAATGCTCACAGAGATTTATAGGTTTTATTGTATTGGAGCTTTATATTGTAGTGAACACTAGTTTATTTTTATTTTTTGAATTAAATCTCATTTAA